TTTAAAAAAAGAAATGTTAATGTATTAATGATAATGACAATATTACTTTATTATATTCTTACTTACTAATATTACTATAAATAGATGACATGAGTTAATGAGTTATGACTATAAACTATTATGAGTAGCAGTATTCATTATTAAAAGTCTAAGTGAACTAAGTCATTATCTTTATAAATTATTGAATGAGTAAAACAAAGTAGGGTTAAACTTGAAAAAAGGAACGCAACAAAACAACTAACGTGTCGGCAGGAAGCCTTCGTCAGCGAACACAACAACAGAAAAAAAAGTATAAAAATTAAAAACAGCACTTAGCTTAGAAGTAGTATCCATGGGCAGCAAATTAATTTTTTTTTCAGGTTTAACCCTACTTTGTTTTACTCATTTTTTATATTGTTCTAACCTGATTGCAGTCTCTCCCCCTTATAAATTATTGATTGTACTTTACAGTATAGTATAGTAAATAGTATATATAGTAATTGCGCGTGTTGAGTCTTCTTATTAAATTAAATTAGAAGTTATATTTTATTAGGCCTTATTAGTAGCCTGTGCCAGCTAGATTATAATTATATCATAAATTATATGTCTTTCTTACTCAACTTACTGAAGTTGGTAGAAGTAGTCTAAGTATTATAACTGTTGACTGTTGCTAATTAGTAACAGTAGTCTGAGGAGCAGTAGTAGTAGTAGTGGTGGTGGTGGTGGTGGTGGTGGTGGTAGTAGTAGTAGTGAGTAGTGTTTAGTGGGTCTAAACAAGAATCAGGGGCAGGCTTTCTTTAACTTTAATTTAATAATAATAAATAATAACTGGTAAAAGTGGAGTTCAGGTGCGTATATTATTTCTGTTTGAATTTCTTATTTTCGCGTGTAAACTTATGTTAATTCTTTATAAAAAGTATTTTAAAAGTAAAATACCATCTTTTTATTGGAATACAACAACAATTTAACAAATTTTATGAGATAAAAAATGACATTTTCATTAATCTTTTGTCTTTTACGGAGCCATTGTGGTAAATCAAGGGTAACTCTTCTGTCTTTAAAGATACGCTATAAAAGTTGCCCAATTGGATGAATCTTGGTTAAAATAAATGTTGTATTTATTTTATAACTTTACTATCAAATATAACCGGAGTTGCCCGGGTTTGCATTCAGAAAAAAAAATCTTCTACTTCCTTTCAATTCAATTTTGCTATTAAGCGAAATTATAACAAAAAAACAACAATACTTTATTAAAAAAAATTAAAATAATCAATTTGTCTCCTATAAAAACACTTAAAACAACTTATGTAAACCTTTTGTTTTTCCCGTTTTCCGATGGCACCACATTGTCCGGAAGGATCATGATGGGATCCCGATAAAATTCTGGTCATGGCGTTATCCCGGTAGAATCTCGGACATGGTGGATCCCAATCCCGGTAGAATCCCAGCCATGGTGGGATCCCAATCCCCTAATATCACGATCCCGGTGAGATCCCTTTTCCGGTGGTATCCCAATCCCAATGAGATCCCAATCCGGTGAGATCCCGATCCTGGCAGGATCCGATCCTGGTAGGATCTTGAGCACAGTGAGATCCCGATCCTGGTGGGATCCTGTTTCCGGTGAGATTCCGATCCCGATAGGATCTTGATCCAAGTGAGATCCTGATCCCGGTGGGATCCTGACCCAGTGGATTCCCGATCCCGGTGGGATACCGGTTCCGGTGAGATCCCGTTTCCGGTGAGATCCAGATCCCGGTAGTTATAGGGAACTCTCATACTTGACATACCTAGCCAGTTTACAAGCCACATAGCAATGGTTACGACGCCTTACGAGAAATTCCATAGTTGTATTAACTTAATTTGTTGCCTCACAAAGTTCGCATATAAAACAAATGCTGCACCATTTAAAATGTCCTTTGGATCAACAATTTCAATTATTGCCTCTTGGTCGTCCTGCCATTTTGAACAAAATGATCACCACCAGCAATACCGCAAAATGAGTCCGTCTTATTCTATATAATCACTAGCCCTCACCCTCATTTAACTCAGCACAAATCAGTCACCATTAATAAGCGCATTTGCATAAGAAGAAAGGGGAGGAGTGCTCAAATTAGAGCTGACCAATCGTGGACAATGTATTTGCAGCCATCAGTATGAGATCACTATCAATAAATGATCCGAGTTCCCCCATTTCCTGCAACGTCACAAATATTTTTTTTTTAAAGTGGACATGTGATCACACATTGGCACATATTCGTGGAACACCCCCCTCCCTTTTTTTCCAGCTTCCCTCCAGGACAATGATGACGTGTGTCCCTGCTGCCTTAGTCGGTGATCCACTTCTAATTCCCCCCCCCCCCCCCCCAGACTTCAAGGGACAACCCGTATATTCCGAGCGCTCTGAGCGGAAAAAAAAGAAAGTGGGGGTGGGGGAGAGGGCGCTCGTGTGTAATAAAAAATCTAAATTTCATTCTTTTTTGTGAACATGCCTACAGTTTGAAAATTCGTTTATCATACTAACGTATAGGTGGTTAAAAAGCTGACCATAGGCCGAAGAAAAAAACAAAAAACAAATGGGGCTATGTTACTTTGGTTGGGGGATGTTTAAAGTTAAAGACTCTTTAGAAATCAAATAAATAGAAAAAGGGCCATTTAAAATTCAGTATTAGTTAACTATAACTGCCTGGATTTAATTAATTTAATAAAGAATACACGTAAGTTTACATTATGATTAAATACGAAATGCGTTAAGAAATAATATACGCACCTGAACTCCACTTTTACCATAATAACTTTAAATTTGCTTTCCAGGTTCCACTTATTATTATTTGTTATAGTAATAGTACTATTACAGTTACAGTAATTGAGCAATGGCAATTACTAATTTAATAGACTTTACTTTAAAATTTATTATTTATCAATTTATCATGATCGCATCGTAATCCCGACGCATAACAATAACAACTAATTTATTTCTGTCAATTAAATGTGAACATCATATACCCATCATTTTTATTGAAAACTCTTCCTTTTAAACATTAAAATCAATACAACTTCACCACTTATGTTTTAAGGTAATAAAATAACAACCCAGTGCAGTAGATAGTTACATTTATTTTATTCAGGACTTACTTCCATAACATAATCCAAAACTTGCATATTACTCCGGAAGTTGTTGCAAATTCTGGACAGTTAACTAAACGTTGATCCATTTTTTGCTATTTTTAGATAATGTGCACAATTAATGAAAATCACTTCCTAATTTTTATCTTTAAGAAATCATTATGAATTATAAATATTTTATTTGATTTTTTAAAAAATAATTTAATATCATAAAAAATAATAAAACAACCACATCAAATAAAATTAATAACTGGCAAGCAGTTCTAACAGATTTGTATGACAGTACCTCTTAAAAATTCCTACCGGAATTCATCCTTTAATCGTCCAAATGTATCTGTACCCTCAAAAGGTTCTTCATTGGGGTAATAACTTTGGAATGAGTTGTGTGTCAGTGTGAGAATACTGATTAGGGCAGCGGTTCTCAACCACTGTGTCAATACCCCTTTGGGGGTCGAACAACCAGGTCACAGGGGTCACCTAAGACACATATACTCTACAGCTATGAAGTATCAACAAAAATAATTTAATTTTATTGTTGGGGGTCTTCACAACATGAGGAACTGTATTACAGGGTTGCGGCATTAGAAAGGTTGAGAACCCCTGGATTAGGTTGAATAGCAAAATTTAAAAAAGAGCTTCCCTGGCAAAAGAGCTCACTCACACCGGCTCTGATCGATTTCTACCCACCCCTGGAAAAAAAAAACCAACAACATCTTGAAATAGCGCTAATTCTGTTAAACGCGAAACGCGCAATGGTTTCTTTGGGGGAAAAATCGTACCACCCCCCCCCCCCATGAATTAGCACGTCATGCAACTGCCACCGAATTACGTCGTTAAAGAGAATGTGACGTAGGCCTATACCTAAACTTAAAACAACATTATGAGAAGTATGACGATGAATACAAATAATATTTTATAGCCTTATAGAAAATAATCTTAGAAACACCGTAATAGACCTCACTATCTTTAAATCCTTTATATTAATTTCACTTTTTTCTTGTGTTGTGGCAAATTTTTCGGAAGGCTTTTTGGCCCACTTCCCGAAACTGCTGAAACTTGGAACATAGACTCGTTGCCGATGACAACACATTCTATCAAATTTTCATCGCAACACCCAAAAAAACCAATAGTTTTTCCTGTTTTCAAAGGGAAGCTAATAGACCCACTTCCCGTCATTCTATTGGACTAAAACTTGGCTCATAGACTTGTTGTCGATAACAACACATTCAAAAAATTTTTAGCCCCACCCAATCTCCAAAAACATGTTTTTTCCTGTTTTTCAAGCGGGGGAGGGGGGGGGGTTGAATGAAATAGACTTTTTTCAGTGGTTGCGTGTTCAATCGTGGAAATCAATTGTGGAGCTGTTACGATGTACTTTATATTTGTAACGTATTTGGGTTTAAATATATCATTTGTTTATTAGGTTTTACATGCACTAAGTTTGATAAAAATATAAAACCATTCCCATACCAAAAGTAAATTGTTACAATAAATTAAATAAACTATTGATAAACTGTACGAATTTCATGATAATTATTGCAGAATCTGTGCATAAATGTATGTTTACACATTCTTGTGCGACCCTCTCCCTACTAAGCATGAAAAACATTCGCCATTTAACCACCCACTCCGCCCCTTAGCGCCTTACGGCACGCCTATAGTATAATTATGCTATTGGAGAAAGGCACCTAGATATCCGGTAACACCGACACCGGTGCGTCATCCCTAAATAAAGAATATTTTCTTGAGTGTCTATCCACATTAAACATGATGTTTTAGTTTAAGTTAAAAGATATGCAACTCACCATATTTAATTAATTTATTGAATTACGCGTACAATTACGGTAACACGCACTTTACCCCTCCTACCTACACCCCCACCACTTTCCAGGGTAGAGAACTAGTGATGGTTTCCAGTGAAGGAAACAACGTTAGTCACTGGCCTATTCACTTTACATGTCTACAAGTAGTAGTGGTCTACACAGAGTGAAGAGACTGAAAATTACTATAAGTAAAAAATGTCTCTCGGGGAGGACAGTGGTGAGAGATTGAGAGAAGCAGCTTGCGTAGGTGACCTAAATCTTCTGGCTAAACTCGAATCACAAGGTGTTGATATAAACAGTAAAAATGCGATGAATGGTTGGTAAGTAAACCTAAGCCTAAAACTAAAATTGTTGAAGAGGGATAACGGATAATGATAATTAATGAATCATAAATTGATAATGGCAATGCAATTAATTAAATTATTATCACCAGCCTTTGACTTTGGTGGTTAAAAGTAAGTTAAACTTTAGATAAATTTTGGGTTAACGGTATGGGTTTCAGCAGTGGGGTAGCTAATAGCTAGGGTTGGTGTCACCCAGATCAGTAAACTCATGGTGTCACCCCCCCCCCCTGCAAACTTCAATGATGGATTTCTACTTGTTAAAATAAATCCACAGTATAACAATGACAAGAACAAAAACACATACATCGAAGGTCATGAGGTCAATGTATTTAAATCTGTAACAACGTCAAGTCAGTCAAGTTATAGTTTGTTTTTTTTTACATTCAATTTACTTTATTTAAAATTGTCCTTCCGGTGTCTTCAAAGCTGCAAACCTGTCAATCACTTGATCAAACTCAATGTCATTCACTGTATCACTTCCAATTAATAGCAGAGCCGCATCAGAAAGCCTAGACTTTCCCATGGTGGATCATAAATATTTCTTGATAAGCCGTAGTTTTGAGGAGCTCTGCGCTCATACACATATTGTAAGATAAAATCAAAGGCTTAGCGAGAGTATTGGAGGAGATTCTAGGAGGTCCCATTCAGCTATGAATTTCAAAACATCAAATAATGACCAGTTCATGGTTCACAATTCAGTATCAGCTGCCTTTAGATGTCTTCTAAGCCTGGTATTTCTTTTAAAAATTCATCTTCTAATAACTCATCATAGAAAAAGGCTAATTTTGGAACGGACACCAATAACTCTTCTTCACTTGCTGATACTAGACTCTCGGATCGAACAGCGCAAAACATATCTGCCACTTTCTTGGACGCTAATGATCTGATCTGGCCTTCAGAATGAAAGCGATCAATACAAGCCAGGATCCCCCTACTGTTTTCTTCCCGCAGAAAGAGTCCAGCATCTATTAATTGTTCTCCTGCCATTCTCTTCTTCAACCTTAATCTTCTTTCTACCGATATTCCATATTAGTCTGATTTTAAAAGTTCATTTTCAATAGCATATTCCACCAAGTGACGCCGCTTCTCGTGGAGAAACAATCTTAAGGCCTCTAGGTTTGTCACCAATTTGTCAAGAGTAAAGCCTTTAGTCTGCAGATACTGCTGTGTAAGATTAACTTCCTCGAGTAGATCCGCCCAAAGGTAAAGGTAGCATGTAAAAGACCTTGTGCTGTACCTCTTGTATCTGAATTTTCAAGAGGATTACACAGAGCTTCAATCACCGCCACACATTCATCAAACTCATCTTTCACTGTTTTAACAGCAGCATGATGAGCACTCCAACGCGTTGTTGACATTCTCTTCAACGACATCCTAGTATGTTCAACTAGAACATTCCATCGATGAGTGGATGCAGCAAAGAAGGAAAATATTCTTTCAAGATTACCGACAAATGTAATACATGAAGCATTTTCTGCAAATGAGTTTTGACTAAACAAGTTAAGTGAATGGCCCACACATATATTAAAATTGCTTTCTTTTAATATTTCTTTTCATAATGGCCTCAACACATCCATGGATTCCAGACATTGTGGCAGCATTATCATAACCTTAAGCTCTGAACATCATTATTTATAGTATATAAAATTTTAGATTTTTTAGAATTTCAGAGCTGAGATCATCAGCTTTTTCCCCTCTTAACGGGAAAAATGCAAGAACACATCTCTCACTTCAGCTTTCCCATTGTTGATTTTCACGTATCTGATCACTTCGGACATCTAGTCACAGTGTGATATTTCAGGTGTACTTTCAAACATAATTCCAAGATACCTCGCAGCCTTTATATCCATGATAAGAATCGCCTTCACATGATTTGCAAGAACATTTATAAATTCATTTTGGGTTTCTGGTGAAAGGTAAGATGCGGATGCTTTTTCTGTAGATGTACTCCTCTTTAGTCTCATTTGGTGCTCTTTTAGCGGTGGATTAGATTTAGATAGCATCTCAACCATTTAAAGAAGGTTTCAGTGAAGATTCAACTTCGTTGTGGCCACGAAATGCCAGATTTTGCTTTGCAAGAAACAATGTGATATCCAGCAACCTGTGCAGGATATCCCTCCACTTTGTCTTCTCCCTGTCCATCACAGCAATACTTTCGGCATCAATTGTTTTGTGTATCCTTAGTCCTGCTGCCAATGCTTTCCACTTTTCAAAGCAACAAGGTGCTCTTTAAATGCCTCATGATTTTGTAATTTTTGGCTCAGTTTCCACCACTGATCAAAGCATCAACCTTGAACTTTAAATAAAGCACGCATTTGGATTGGTTACATTTGTGAAAAATTTATGTGTGATCAGTTATCCTTTTATGACTCTCGGTTGTGAGTGCTCGGTGTGCTCTGTAAATATGCAATTTTTCAATTGGGTGTCACCCCTAAAATGGTGTCACCCGGTGCGATCCGCACCCCCTCGCTACGCCACTGGGTTTCGGTATGGGTTTTGCCAAGAGTTTTCTCATGGTGTCTCACCCTAAGTGCAGTGACGTCATTTTGGGGAATCCCAACACTGGACTTAGGATGAATAGACCTATTCATTGTAGGACCTGAACGATTTGTGTTATAACATTCCTGTTCTTTATTGAGAATTAGGCCCTACTGGCGTCATACACGATACGGTTAATATGAAGTATTTTAAAATGAAATTTTCCATTACTTTGAATGGAAATTCAAATTACACGTTTCAAAAGAAAGGAGAAAAGAAACACACCCTTGCTAATACCCCAAGACCCAACACCAGTGGAAAAAATAGACGTGCACCAAAGGTGGTGTATTTTGATTAGTTGAAATCAAAATACCCGTATGTTGAAACTTTGGTAACAAAAGGAAGATTACTGATTAAATTGCATTTGGAATGATCTTCTGGGGAGGGGAGACGCCTCCCCAGAACTCCTCCCCAATTTAACACAAAATATAAAATAAGAAAATAATAACTTGCATTATGTGAATACAAACATCAAAATCTTTTTAGTATGGTGCTGTAGACGGAAATGGACCTGGGGGAACCTCCGTGACCTATGTACCGTAGAACACATCATCGGCCTTACCACTAACCCAAAATCAGCCAAACGGCATATCGCTTTATTCAATTTTATTTAATATTGGTGTTTCATTATTTACATAAACTATGATAAACTGGCGAATAGTGGTGTGGCCATGATTGAATTGATTGTGGTGATAATAATTTTGGAAAATGGACTAAAAGGTGACCCCCCCCCCCAGGTATGTAGATTGATAATTTAATTATTTAGTAATGCTACTATTAATGGGTAAACCCAGTTATAATATGAATATGTTTCACATTGTTCAAACTAAATTGACAATCAACGAAATGTTTTAATGTCATGAGCAAAGCTATTTCACACCACACCCATGAAAGATGTTAATCTTTTGCACCAATAAAACTTACATTAAATGTTCATGACCGACCTAGTTGCAGTCAGCAGTGCAAAATCATGAATTTATTATTTTATTTGTATAGCTCATATAAGTGAAAAACATGAATTTGACTAATGTGGATCTTCGGATCCAGGCCTTTCCCATGGCTAGAAATCTGTTTCTTCCACCCTGAACAATCTCAAGAACACATCTATCAAAAAACATTTCACAAATCCTTCATAATTACCGACATCTCACCACTTATGACACACAACATCCAATTATGTATATTAGGATTAGATCATAATCATATTTAAAGTACTATTAGTACTAAGTTTTTACTAATGTAGTTTGGCTACTTTTACTTAACGCTTTTTCACACTCTGTTGAGGGCTTGCCTTTAGTTTTTAAAACATAATTATAAACAAATTCCTATATCCACTGAACATATTGCTTGACATATCTTATATATAGTGCAAAAGAAAACAAAAAAACTAATTGACAATGCAATATTTCAAATAAAGAATAATTTTAATCAACATTAATCATAATTCATAAACATATTAGTATTTCAGTGGTAATTATGGGCTTGACTTATGGTTAATCAAATGGTCAATGCCAGTTCCATATTTGTGACTGCTAGTTATAACAAGTGATGCAAGTGTGCATCAGTTAGTCTGGTTGGATATTTCAGATGTTTCATTTGGTAAAAATGCTATTCACAGACATATTTTTGCTAAGGATGTTTGCTATTGTGATTCTATTGATTATTGATTAAGATATATCTCAGAGAGGAGAGGGGACATCTATTAATGACAACATTCATCTAAAGGAGGGGTTCCATGAATTTGTGAGGATGTTACAAGAGGGTGTCTAAATTGTGTGACAAATTAGATGATGAGAGAAGTGGGGATAAAAAAAAGCTTCCAAAATGTGTGAAATTTATGGATTGCCCATTATGCATAGAAATCAGAAAGGCTGCTTGACCTAAAAGCCTCTTTCAGAGATTGGTAAATCAGATCAACAGCTGCAATCACAGAAATTTGGTTCTGGAAAAGTTTTAATGGCCATTTCATGGAAATAAAGCTTTTCAATGTAATGTAACTCATTTTGCAATATTTCCAGTAAACTCCATACATTTTCTTGCAACTGCTCTTTTTTCTGGCAACAGGTTTTAAGCTGTGGGTAGAAGTTTTCCTCCTTTACTTGCTTATTGAGGAGGTTTGTTTGTACGTGAATTGCTTCCACGTCGTCTCATCCTTACCTTTGTGTTAGTCTTCTTCTATATTGTCCATGTTATTCCCAGTTTGCTTAAAACCAAAATATTTTCTATTCTGCAAAAAAATGGCAACTCTAGGGGGTTTATTTGATTAAGATTACTTTTTAAGGTAAGCCATGGGTTTTGTATGCCAGAAAAAAGAGTTGGTATGACACATTTCAAGGCTTACCCACACCAGATCTCGGTTTTAAATTTTAATACCACTGCAATACAATTTACAAATTTAAAGTGATCATTTTTATTTACAGGACAGCTCTACATTGGGCTTGCAAAAGGAACCATGTTAATGTAGTGCAGTATTTGCTTGGAAAAGGAGCAGACAAGTCTTCCACTAATAAAGAGGGACATGTGCCTGCCCAGCTTACCTCAAATGAAGAAATCTGGCAGCTTCTTGGAGGTTAGCTATCTTTTTCAGAGCTTTAACTAGACTAGTTTCTCTGTTTCCTTCCATTCCTCTGCAGATGTGAGAATTAACCATTGCAAAGTTAGGCAAAGACAATGGAGACACATATCTTAAACTTTTGTAGAATGTGTGTAAAGAACAGTTTGATGGAAGAGAAATTTCATCATGCAATTATTGTAATATTCTTAATTAAAGCTATATTAGTTTTCTACATTGCTTATGATAAATTAAAAAAATTATTACAAAGAATTTCAATTGTGCAGTCAAATTATAAAGTTTTTTAAAAAGTAATTTACATTAATGTTTGTATGTTTTTGTTATTATAATTTTTATGTAAAAAATTTCTTTAAATTATTTTTGATTATAGTAAATTATATACCAAAATTGAAATATAATGTTTCTTTTATAATTTCTCCTGCAGCTCCTCCAAATATGGAAATAAAGCATTCTTCATTGCCAATAACGCCAAATTACATGGCAAACCCTCCATTTCCTTATGTTGGACAAGAAACAGAAAAAGTATATACTAATTATTCTCCTCCATGTACAAACCCTGCTCACAAAAATGCTGGTGGGGAAAATGCTGATAGCAGATACAAACTGTATAATGGCGTAGATGAGAAAACAAATGGTAATGAGGCTATCTTATTTCTAAATTTTAAGGAATTTTTAAGTAAATTTACTTATCTCTCATATTATTCTTTTAAAGGATCAATTAGATTGAAAAAACGATATTAGAAACTGTTAAACTTTACGAAATTATTAAAAAAAATTATAACAATACTTTGCAGAACTGGTTCTGAAAGCAAGAATTGCCAACTGTGATGAAAAAGACTTCATAGAGGTTGAGTTAGGATTATCAAATATTAATTTTGCTGGACTGTTGAATTTATTATGCGCAGAGCTGGGGGTGGATAAAAATCTTGTTATGAAAATACGAAAATTACCAGATACCATACTGCGAAAAGACAAAGATGTCAAGCGGTTGAAGGATTTTCAAGAGCTTGAGTTGGTGCTTACTAACAAAGCAATGAGTGCAGCATCACGAACTTACAGCTTGGGGCCAGCGAGAAATCATGAAACAATTCTTTACTAATTTTTGCTGATGGTGTGTTGTATTTGTAAATGAAAAAATGTGGTGAGAATCAAATCTGTGAAATGGACAGGGTTTTAACAGTAGTCTAATTCAGGGCAGTAATTATGATCTTTTAAAAGAGGGCTTTATACATATAAATTAAAACTTATAGCCTTATAGTTTTTTTCTTTGTAAAATAAAATACAAGCTTTTAAATTGTAACACTGAGTCTTCTCCAAATTCTCACTTTGTATATGTGGTGCTGGTCTAATTATATCTCCAGGTGACAGCTTAATATTCTGTCTTTAATTTCTTTGATGTTTGGCAGCATGGCTTTCAAAATTTAAATTCAAACTCATCTTATATCATCAGACTATTTTTTATGATCATTTTTATTTTAATTCTCAATGTCAACAACAAATCAGCATTAAAATGTATGTATCAGTGTATTATTACTTTTTTGAACAAGACAGACCTTGGATGGGATCAGTTGAATTTTATATCAAGTGTTGATTGTGTTTGATTTAACTAAATAATAATTATGCATACTTCCTCTCATATTAACACAATTCTTTTTTTTTTTAATTATACTGCAACCAATAATGAGACACATTTTTGATATCTTAGTACAGGGGCCTGTTCTTTTGATGTCAAGATGCGGCTCTTCAGCTCCATGCGCAAATATTAATAATTATATTGAAATAAAAATGTTAGTGGCTCTTTAAAAACTGGGAAATTTTGTAAATTGTAACTTTTGGCTCTTCCGTCTCAAAAGGTTGCCGACCCCTGTCTTAGTACCATCTAACACTAGTTACAATGACATTTAATCATGTATTGCTTCACAGTAAATACAGAGTAAGATAGATGTAATGTGTGCCTTTGTGAATGTGATGACAGATTTTTTTAGCAGAGTTTTAGAACAAGAGATGTTCTGTGCTTGCTGGCAGGTGCCAAGACAATGCATGAATTAAACTTTGATTTATGACCTATGGCATCTGCTAAAATTGATTTGATGTCTTTAACAGGAAAATGAGGAATAGTTTGAAGGTCTCATAGCTGCTGGATTAGGATAATGAATGGAACTGGAAGTTGAGTTAATTTCAAAAGTTTTTTTCTTAGTTTTCAAATTTCTTAGAAGGGCAAAAATCTTTCTAATTTTTAGATTTAATTGATTTTTCCTATCTGAAGGGGTTATTTTGTGTAAAAATTATGTTTTGAATAATTTTTGACATTGTTACATCTTATGTATTGTTCTTCAGCTAATATTCCAATCTGAACAAAAAAAGTCTGTCAACAGCTTTTCAATCAAAATTGTGATAACTTTTTAAAATTAAAATAAACAGCCTTAGCTTTTTTTTTTATTGGAATGGCTTTGAGAATGTTAAGTTCTTCCACTATCAAAAAATTTGCTTTTACAACAGTCAAAAGCTACATTTACTTCATTTCAAATTGAACTGTCTTATGTAAGCATGTTTATGCCCTGCCACCAATCAATCCTTAAAGAAGCTGTGGTCTTGGTAAGTTATTGTCATTTTAATCGGCTGGAGTAGTTTCTTTCCGAAAATTCACATTCTAATTTTGATATAATTGTTTATTAAATTTTTTTTAAAGTATTTAAATATATTTTTTTAAAAACAACAGAAAAAGGTCACAGTTATGATAAGTTCTAAAGTAATATTTATAACACTATTATTATTAAATAAGAGTTACTAATAATTGAGTGTATTTTTTATCAGAGATTTTAATTTTACTCCATAAAAATGAAAATTGTTCAATATTTGAATTATTTATATCTTTTTCAAATTATTATCACTGAATTTTTGTGTGTGGCAATTCCTGATTGTTGACTTGCTGATCTGGCACTATGGATTCCCTATGGATATTCATGTTCCATGCTTTATGATATAATATGGGGCTTATATTAGTTATATACAAACAATAAAGAATATTCAGAAGTGAGCTCGAGCATGGAAGGGGGTTTTCTGATGGTCAGAAGAAATGCTTTAAAGATACCCTTAAAGCCTAACTGAACGCCATATAGACACGGACACATGGGCAGCAAGGGACGAGATATTGTTATGTTCCTCTGTACACAAAGGCTCCATACGACAAGACAACAGAACAGCGGCTGCAGATGACAAAAAACATGCCAAAAAAGTGTAGGTTAACTCTGCACCTGTCCCATCCTTCCCCTGCACTTACTGCACAAGATTGTTTCGTGCCAGAATATGCCTCATCTGCCCATCCACAGCCAACCTCACGATTAGCATATACGATGAATAAGGTGGTCATAGTCGATTTCAACTGACAAATTTTATATATAATGGGTACATATATTTACAATAAACTTAATTATCATAATGATACATTATCTTGGCAAGATTCTCGGTTAATTTTTGAAGTGCTTTAACTTCTCGAAGAATGTTTTTTTGCTATTATTTATTAATAGTATACTTGCTGTTTATTGCAGACATTGGTTTATTAATAAAGCCACAATAAATGTAGTAAATTATGTTCCTTCCTGTTAAATAAAACTTTGCACATGTACTTGTATTTAAATAATCAGGGGGGCTAGATAATACCAGAATGATGGTAATATGAGGAAAATTACTCTCTTTTTTTTGTCTTATGTGTTTTATTTTCCTTTTATTTTCCTAAGGCAGTGGTCGGCAAATCGCGGCTCGCATGCCACATGGGGGCTCTTTAGGGACTTGAGTGCGGCTCGGCCAGTCAGCCACAAATCGGTTTTGACTCCGAAAAACATGGTTCTTGAACGATTAATGAAAAGAAATTTGGCTCCCATAAATTTGTGTATTGTCCTGCTGATTTTTGGCTCTTTTGACTAATGAGTTTGCTGACCACTGTCCTAAGGGAATCCAAATCTCAGTAAAAAAAGTGTCTTTTATAAGTGTGGCCTATAATATAACCCGTTTCATTTAATTATAAAATATTTTGCTTAAAAGTCGGAAAGCCCCTTCTTACCATAAAAGCAAACATTTCATTCTTACTTTGAATTTTTATATCAAAAAAAAATATTTTATATATATTATATATCAGTGATTTTCAACCTTCTAAATTTCATGGCACACTAAAATTTACTGTTAGCATCACTTGTAGATGTAAAGGAAAACAACTATCAAACCATATAATAAATTAGGATATATGTCATTTGTTTTATTATCTTTTTATTGTACAAATAATATTCACACAAAATATATATTATAATATTGACTGTATGAACTGTATTATAATTACATACTTATTGTTGTGACTCATTTTCAACTAATTTATTAAATTTGTATTTAAGTATTTAAATATATTTCATTAAAAAAATGTAAAATGAGAAATGTAAGCAAATGGAAATTTGGCTAGTTAAGATGCTGGCAGGTATCTGAGAACTTATTACTGCTATTATTGCTATTTGACTTGATTTTTAGTTGATTACCGTGGTCCTTAAGAAACATTTTTTCACTGGTCATGTACATTATTTCAAATTGTCTTTATTTTTAACCAGTCATATTTCATTCATTAAAGATGGCAGGAGTCTAAGAAGGATAAATTTATTTTGACTAATTTTCTACAACTATTCATATGCAAATTTCATCCTTAATAAACTAATATCTGGGGAATCTTAAATTGTTTCCCCTCAAATCCCTTGTCTGATAATGAGTCCAAAGTATTTCAATAATACTAAATAATACAATAATTTTCAGTGTTTAGGTCTCCATACTCCATGTGTGAGTGACCAACCTAGTTTTACAAACCTAGATAATGAAATCTTATATGTTAAAGCCATTAAAAAAATTATTTTTTAAAAATTAATGATGCTACTGCCATATTTTTAAAATATTTTTTTAACGCATTTCCATAGCTTGGATTGGAATATCATCTAATGTACCGGTATATATATCTTATTTTGTTTTGACATGAATAGTGCAGCATTTTTACACTAACTTTGTAACCACCAAAATTATGAAAAATATTGACATTTATTTTGTAAATATTTTTTTAAAACATAAAAAATAATGGATATGGGAAAACTGATTTCAGATGTAAACAGGAATTCATTTCGCCTTGCAGACACTGCCTAACCACTCTTGGTATGGGTAATTATAGTATAGGGTGAGAAATTTTTTAATGAAAGTATTGAACGTAACATTCAATCTTTCATCCATATATTATTTAATTCAAAAAAGCAACTTTTGAGTTTCAGTATTTCCATATAGTCTAAATTAAATAAATGAAACAAACGTTAAAAGGAAAAATTTAACACCATTTCGGCTGATTTTATAGATCTTAAACATAAAAAAAAAATTATATCTCATTTTTTTTCATTAAGATTTACTCGTACAGTGTACATTTAGTCTCTCAACGATTTTAGTCTACAGAAAAGTTGAAACTAACTAATGTTCATTGCAATTAAAATAAAAAGGATAAATAGTTATTTTACCCTGTCGCTTAAGTTCAAGTAGAAAATTTGGCAAATTCTTTGCTTCAATACTATACAATAATTTAACTTGATTTTGGACGTGTTAAGATTAAAGCAATAGTTTTTATTTATATCATTTATATTCGATTATTATTGTTGTTTTTTTTTTTACATCCTTACGCTTAAATTTGTGAAACCGAGAGGCCTGGGATATTTTTTTTTCTCATCTAACTGAACATCAAATGATGATATAGCTTGGCTCCAGGGGCCTTGCTGGAATTTTGATCAACGTCAATGTCATACCCTCTACTAAAAAAACTACTATACGTCTCCAGATTTTTCTGATGGTGTTAACTCCTGTAGCCTGGGTTGGTGTTGCGGAGGGTTGAACTCCAGCCCACAAGTTTGCATTTGATGTTTTGGTATTGCACTTGGCAACACAAGGCCATGCAGTCACTTCTTTTTTTTTTAATGATAGCTGTTGTGGGTGCCTCGTACTCGTAGAGTAAACGTAAATGTTGTATTTTATTAATCTTTCCCATTTTAAATTATCAATAAAGAATTTAAAAGTTTCATAACTATTTTTTTATTACCAGTACCAATATTTTAATGTATACCTATACTTTAGAAATTGTTAAGTAATTTCCAATCCTACTAATTTGTTGTAATGTGTTTAAACAGTGATGTAATTTGGCATAAATTCATTGTTACCTGCAAAGTATAGGCCTTTTAACAAAAAGGCTTTTTTTCAAAGAAGTTAATCTTTGAAGGAGGTAAATAAATATATTATCTACTAAAAAAGTAATTCATCACCTATACAAGTATCCCTTACTTCAAGAAGTTAAAAGGATCAATGTAGTGACAATTAACTGTAGTTGACAAAGTTTTTTCTCAGTAATAATATTTTTTCATGTTATATAATTTGTTTCTTATTTAGCTTGTTATGCTTTCAACATAGACCAAAAAAAAAAAAAAATTTGTTTCTGCCCCATTTTATTTTGTAATACCTAGTACTAAGTAACAGTGGTGTAGCTATGGTTGATGTCACCCGGTGCGGTAAACTCATGGTGTCCCTCCCACGACTTCCACGATGGATTTATTCTTTTTTAAATAAGTCCACAGTATAACCATGACAAGAACAAATTAACTAACGGAGGTAAATGTATTTCAAGAAATGTAACAATGTAAAGTTATAGTTTTATTTTAACATTAAATTTACTTTATTTAAAATGTTCCTTCACCACATCAATATCCTTCACCACATCACTTTCAATTGATAGTGGGGCCATGTCAGAAAGCCTTGACTTTTTCTTGGTGGATCGTAAATAGTTTGTGATAAGCCTTAATTTTGAAAAGCTCCACTCACATGAAGCCACACACACAAATCATAAGAAACATTTAAAGGCTTATCAGCATATCAAGATTCTAGGAAGTCCCATTCCGCTATGAATTTCAAAACATCAAATACTGACCAGGTCATGGTTCACAATTCAGTATCAGCTGCCTTTAGATGTCTTCTAAGCCTGGTATTTCTTTTAAAAATTCATCTTCTGATAACCCATCATAGAAAGAGGTTAATTTTGGAACGGACACCAATAACTCTTCTTGACATGCTGATAGGACTCTTGGGTTGAACAGTCCCAAACATATCTGCTACTTCCTTGACCACTGATAATCTGATCTGAAGTTTAAAATGAAAGCAATCAATACACTCCAGCATATCCTTGTTTTCTTCTCGCATCGCAGAGTCCAGCATTTATTAAT